CCCCCCTCCTATATTCTTTCTTCTCGTAATTTCGACATTGTTGTGATACTGCGCACTCATAGAAAAGGCTTACTTCGCGATGGAATTTGTTTCGGAGATCCCTCATTGGGAAAAATCGTTGGTCTCTGAAAGGGCCAGATAGGACGGTACAAACCGAAAAACTACCTCGATACAGCGAAACAAAAATCGCAATCGCTTTCACCGCCGTCCGCGCTATGAAGGGGAAGACGTGAATTTTCAGTAGAACACCAGTGTAATCGTCCTTAAACCACAGTGCCATGTCGAAAGCATCACCCCTTTACGCGTCTGCACACCTGTCCCTGCAGTGACCAGCATTGCTCCGAGAACCGTCATAACCTCTCCAACCTTAGAAATGAACTGCTTCAGAGAGGGTCTTATCTTCTGGGATTTTTGCGAATATTCTTGCTTCCTTCGTCAACGACTATTTTGCATCAACGCTTTCGCAACATAGCCCAATAAAGGTCGATGGAGTTACCGGCAGCTGCATCCCGAATTTCTAGTACAGGAGTCGAAAAGTTAAGCATTCTTACACGAGTATTCGCCAGCTAGCTATGACTTATGGAACAACACACTATACAGTAGCGCTCAAAAGTATTCGGCCAAACGCTTTNTATTCGGCCAAACGCTTTCACGCTTCTTCGTTCATAACTTTTTTCTCAGTGGAGCAAATCGCGCAGAATTTTTATATGTTTAACTGAAGCATATTCACACCATCCGACCCTTTTTGTCGGCAAAGTAGCTATATCCACGTAACTGAGAGCAGGATGGTTTTTGCGGTAGCAAACTTCGTTTAAACAAAGTTAGTGACGTCTGCAGTTATTTGCACCTTATGAGCGTTATTCTTCTCCACTATGTTCGGGATTAGCGCTCGCATACTTCACATGGCAAAAAGAAAAGAAATCCTAGAAGTACCAGTGTTCCTAATACTTCCAGTTGATTTTGAGTCCAAGCCCTTTGGGATATCTGGAACATGATCAGATCGCAGTTCATTTGTGGTAAATATTCATAATACACCCATGCTACACTTATTGGAATTTCACATGGTTGAATCAAGCCAGAAAGGAGTTACGACTGAAAAGTGAAACTGAAGAAGCATTTCGCAGAATACTTTTGTGCGCTACTGAAGCACTTAGGCGTGGTGGGACCATTGGCTTGGCACCCTAGGGCGACATTTTCTGCGTATTATGCACTTAGCTCTGCACCACTGTAGAAGTAGAGCCTATCGCAACAGTCTGCTCAGTGAAGATACTATTTCCTTCAGGCAAGCTCCTGAGGTTCTCACGAAGCGATTGTATACGCCCAAAAGTGATGTATATTCATATGGAATACTTACTTGGGAAATATTTAACAACGGTGAACCACCTTTCAAAGGAATAGAGAACAGAGTTGTCAGGGAAAAAGTGGGTCCCTGATTAATGATACAAGTCTATCAACACCAGACGGCACCACCTTTTCTCGTGTGTTGCAGATACTTGATGAGAAATTTCGCCCGCCAATGGTTGCCGCTCTTCCCTTCGTCATCAGTAAAGTGATGAAAGCCTGCTGGAAGACAGACCCTATGAAGCGGCCTACAATGGCTCGAGTTGTTCAGACCCTCAGGAGGGGTCGTCCAGATATGTGAGTGATCTTTACAAATTTGCAGCTTGTAGCAGAAACGACAACTGAATTGAGCCAATAAATGCAATGAGGCCTATGAGGGCTTTCAAGGATTTGGGGAAACCTTCCTGAGAAGTATCCACAACCAACTTCTAACACAGGTTTTTCAGTGATAGTTCAAATCCAATATCAAATATTCAGGCTTCTGCCGACTTTGAGATTGAGCGGAGAGTTTGTCAAACGATCTTCAAGCCAATCTTCCGGTACATCGTCCGGTTCATCTCAAGGAGGATATTTCTCAACATCATCTCTCCGTATGAGAGGCAGCGAAATGGTGAGAATCGCTATAATACAACTAATTAAGGATCATTTGAATGAGGACTTTTTGAGAAGAGCCTCAGGGGCTACAATGACTTTCACTTTTTACAATAACTAGATCTTTCGATAGTCCGCATGTCGTCTGGTCTGTCCACTGCACTACTATTTAATGTTGTGAGGAGAGGGGCCTCTCAAAAGTGGGCCCGCAATAAAGTTGGAAACTCCAACGATGTTGTGAGACCAAAACAGAGAAAACCTAATAAGCTGAAGAAAAGCGCTGTGAGTACGATTCCAGTCCAAAAACCGGACACTAAAACAAATAAGGCAAATCCTAGGGTACGACAGTAGTTGAACATGGGTGGCGGTGATGGTGATGAATGCAGAAAGATGGTGCAGAAAGAAAGACTAGACTACGGCGCAGAGACATTTGCCAACCACCAGAGAGAAAATGTTTCCCTCTCCAAGACGAGGACCATGTGCAGAACAATCCTGACAGAAGCAAAAGCGCTACACAGAAAATAGAAAATTAAGATCCTACTAATGGCATGCGAGATGCCAGCGCTCTAAAAAGGGGGGGGGGGNAACTGTCCTACGAATATGAAAAATTGAGAACCTATTTTTGCAGATCGCGAAAGGTGCAAGCATGCTATGGCATCCGACTTCAATCAGAAGTAAACAAGCCCCATCAACTGAAAGTGTTTACGTCCAACCGCAACCAAAACCGCACTCAAACGATGATAGGATGCCTGTGAATAAATAGAAGTAACCGTGTCTGCACATTTATTGAAAAAAGTTTACTTAACAGTGATAATTATCGTGCTTCTTTACTGGGAACAGACTGGAAATGAAATTTGAAACGATTTGTTCTTATGGTATTTACAAAACAAGCAAGTAATTGTATATAGCCACATATGTATGATGACTGTGGACCTGTTGGAAGCGTGGGATCACTGGTTATGCCCCTTATAACCTGCACGAAATGAAAGCTAGAGTGGTGTCAACTTACCCAACGATACCTCACTACAGCCTGTCGCTTCAATCTATCAACCCCAATGGGGGTGTTCTACCACTGCCGTCTCCAGTTCGTAGCATATGTGAGTTTTGTTTCACGAGTGCCGCTTGAGTTCGATCACCGAGCGGGACGTAACCCGCCAGGGTCAAGCCGGGTATCATTAACTGTTATTACGTTCCCGAATGTAAAACACTATAGATCGGGCCGCGTGAATGATCTGAACCGTTACCATAGGGAAGGACGATTTCACACAAAAACTTGCCGTACCAGTTATAGTTACAGTTACTATACAGTTACTGTACCAGATTATAATAGAAGGTTGAAGGACAAATTCATTGTCCGTTCCAGCTCCTAGGATGCACCCTAGCATTCGACTTCCATATGGAACTTTAGTGGGTTTTGAATGCGAACAGTATAGCTTATACTACGGCTTGCGGTGCTCAGCCATTGTACAAGTCGAACTTTCACCCTCCCAGACGAGTCTGCTATTAATTGAATGGTCCTTAGGGGCGGAATGCTCGACAGGCCTGGGCGATATCGATATGGGACACAATACCGGATCTGTGTGGTAGTGTGCCATTAACACTACACCACCTCCCCACCTTGTCTTGGTTGCTGATATTTACCCAGCTGACACTCCAGAACCACGTCAGCTTCTATTCAACCATTTGCTGCGATGAGCTTCAGCCGGCAGTCGATCTTGCATGTGAATAAGGAAATCATGCTCCTCACGCCCTTTTCAAACAACCGCTGTGAGCAGCGCTATTGAAATCATCCAAGAACAACACGTCTAGTAGAAAGGACTTTCTAGGCTATGATTTCTAAAGAAAGTATCAAAAGATGCATGAGCCATATATTCTTCCGATCTTCAGTATCCGAAAGGGAGGTTCGCATATCAGGTTCGGGTGGTATTGGGTTTGGGTATTGGGGATAAAGCCAAGAAATCAGCTGTCTGAGATGATTCTGACGTAGCGGTAATGAAAAAAAAACATCAGAATAAAGAAGACAAATTAGAAATGGAAATATGAAATCTGTACAGGCAGTCGAAGCGAGTGGTCGATGTGAATGCTCACTGCAACTGTTCTTCGTCAAGCGTCAAACTAGCACTACATCTGCCTAAGTCTATCCACATAAACTTTGTGCGTATCACTGACCTTCTACTGAAATATTTGTTGGAAGGGTGGTAGGTTTATGCTCATTCTGAAGTGTTATCGTTACTCGAACAGGTCCTCTTCAATTACTATGGAAGCCAAAACAGCAACGAAAGGGGAGCATGTTGAGGTGAGGGTGTTTTCTTCTGGTTGCAGCAGAGTAATCTCACTAACTACTGTTTGGATCGGAACAGCAAAATCTTCAAGTGGCAAACGTCAGGGTAAGCCCTCGATGTGGTAGCTTCAATAGTAAAACATTCAATTCACAACCGTAGCAGCAGAAAAAGAAGGATACTTCAGCCTGTCAACGGAAGCTTACTACTTTACTTAGTAACCTACATGTAAGATAGCGAGGTGGACGCGAAGCAATCGTTGCTGCTGCTTTTCAGCTAAACTACCACCTGAGTAGCTAGCAGCTCCAAGTGTGATCATTACGTCATTCGCATGCCCTACGCCTATCTGTGAGAACGTCGCCTCAGCCTTGTGATTTTTCTTACTACCCCGTTCCTCCGGGCACATTGATGGGCCTCACGACTGGCGGAGGCGTGCCTGGTCATGCCGAACACTCGCACTTGCTCTCATTTCGATATAATCACGTCTTAAGAGCAACTTAAGCCCAATCTAATCTACTACGAGTGTACGGTAGTGGGGGAGATGTGCATTAAGGTCGGTTTTGTGTAATTGACTCGTCGCGCGCGACTGTCGCGGACCGTTCCCTTCGCCGTTATTACAGCTCTAGCGTTCTTCATACAGCTCAATCGAATGCGATCATTATTTTAGGCATGATTGTACTGTTAGTTCTTTTGTACCTGTCCTTACCTGCTGCTGCATTCTGCTACATGCCTTCGCGCACGGCATTGCTCTCGCCGCGACGCGACAATTTCGATCCTTCTGCATCGCACCCGGCAGCGGTACCCCGCACAACAACTGGTTTGGCCCGCCCATTGCATGAATGGCGATTATTCTCTGGCTGACTGTATGCGGTGGCATCCGGCACTGTATGTGAACAATGACGACTGGGTGAGGATCAGGATCACCAATGTTAGCGACCAGTGCCTCATCTGCTATGCGTGAAAGCGAACCGTGCATGCTTCACCTAGGTATTAGTATTACACACGGATTTCACCGCTTCACCATGCGACCGAAGAAGAATGGCAAGGTCAAAGCTCAGATGGTTCCCTCGCCGATAGATTACAAGTGGGTCAGAGACAACGGGATGAACGTCAGTAAGGGGGATCCAAGCCGATCGCAAAGCTCAACATCTCCTGTATCACACGTCGCCCCGTTGGTCGCCTACTTTCTCGAGCGGGCGCCAGTAACGTCTCCATTGTCCCTTTCCCGTGCCAGAGTGGTACAGTGAATCGTCTTTGCTTCAGGAACACGAAGCCCAACATTTCAGTAACCGCCCTGGTTCAACGGTCATCACAATATCGCATAACGTGCCCGGCCCACCTGATCTTCGATTTCTTGGTGTAATCAACGGCATCCCTGATCTTCGTTTGATGTCGGAGCTCGGAACTCTGGATTCTCTTCTGCACTTGCGTGCATAGGGGAATTCCGAGCGAGCATCGTCTTTTCCAAAGCGCGTTCTGACAGCACGCTCATCCTGACTTCGCAGAGTCCAACTTTCCGAGGCGTACGTCAAAGCAGGAAGGACAGCAGTGTCGAAAAGGTGAGCGCGGAGCTGGATATTCTTTGTCTTCTTCAATACTCCCTCGATATTTTTAAGCACAGCTCCGGAGCTAGGTCGTTCATTATGTTGACTTCCCGATCTAAGTACACATAGGTAGAGCATTGGAGATATTCGTTCCGTTCAGCGTGAAGGGAGCATAAAGTACCAATCCGTTTTTCATGAACATCGTCTTCGTTAAGTTCAGTCTCAAGCCGATCTTTCCATAAGCACTGTCAAACTCGGCCACCATTCGTTCCACGTGCTCGGTGTTCGGTGTTATGAGTACGGTGTCGTCTAAAAGCGGAGGTGATGTAGATAGCGGCGTCGACCTTCTCACCAAAGGAATCCATTCCAAATGACGCATGATATTCCCGATAGCAGTGCTAAAAGTTTGGGAGAAGAGGTCTCGCCCTGCCGGAGACCTCTCTTCACGTTGATAATGTCTTCCTTGTAGAATGGTGAAATCCCGGTCATGAAATTGTTGTGGAGCTCGCGAAGCATCCTTATTGAGTAGGGATACCCTGGTTGCCCAGGGCTTCAATTACCGCTCCTGTCTCAACGGCATCAAAGGCTTTTTTCAAATCGATGAACTTAAGAAATAACGGACATTTTGTGCTCTCGTGATACTTCTTGCATGAGTGTGAATATGAACGATTAGACTGA